TTCTCTCCAGGTGTTGTCTGTGTTAAAAATCCATGTTTAAGAAACTTGAGTACCATTACCATTACCAGTACCATTAGCAGAGGTGTGTGTCTCTACAGCACAGTGGGAATGGATGAATTAACTCAAGGAAACTGCAATTTGTGCCACCTTTGCCAGGGCATCAGCATAAGTGTGCAGCAGAAATCCTCTACAGTGGAATATTATCAGCCACTCCTATCTAGAAGAGGGGGTGAAAGATAAAATGCAGGTAACAAAATACAGGTCTCAGACTGACAGCAGGGGACGAGGGAAGGGCAACATCAAAAGAGGAAAAGTGATTTTTGCAGCTCTCCTCAACCCAAAACTCAGGCTCTCACCCATTGGGAGGCAATAAATTGGATGGAGAGATATCTACAATGATAGGGGTTAAGCCTTTCTAAATAGAAGCCAAACAATCAGGTGTTGCTTTACTTAAAATTATCTGTAACAAAGAAATATTTTTTTTTCCCATTACAGAAAACTGATTAGGCACAAATCACCCTATTTTTGATTGAAGTCAGCCTCTAATAGAGCAGCTAAATGTGTTGGTCTTGTTCACAAATGGTTTTGTGGTTTTAGGCTTTTGATCCAAAATATTGTCAGATTGTTATCACTGCTGAAGTTCTGATTGTATTTCTTTGCTTTTGTGTAGCTATTTACCCACAAAGAGTCCAGCTTTATGAAATCTTTATAGAAGGCTTGTGCAGATTTTGCTTACAGCAAATGTAAACTGAAGGTTTTAAACCTGGATAGGATTGTTGTTCCTTCTCCCCCATCCCCCAGTTATATTATTATGGGATTTGGTATTGGAGAAACAGCAGAGAAATTCAGAGTCACAGTAAGGGGAAGAAATGAGCCAAGCCTCAGTTTTTAATTTCCAAAGTTATATCACATGACTTTAGCTGACATGAATTTTGGCAGCCTGGCAGGATCCTGTGGACATGTTGATTTTTCATGGAGGTTGTCTTCTCAAGTTACTCTAGGCATGAATGACTTCTCTTGATTAATTTTAGTTTATAAATCTAAATAAGTGTAGCCTGGGAACATTTAGTACTTCACAGCACCATGCTCTGGTGAACAGAAACATCTGATTTCCACCCCCACCCCTGTACTTTCTGCAGAGTTGTAAAGGATTCCTTGGGAGTGTGGAGATAAATCTGAATAAAGCAGAACTTTTTTTTGCTTTTTAGGGCACATCATTTTAATGTGAGCATGGCCAGGAAAGGCATGGCCAGGAAACTTGTGCAGGGTCTCCCAACAGGCTGAGAGGAACAGGCAGGAATTCCTGATGAGGAGCTGCAGAGACACAGTGAGAACATGAACTGAGACCTGGCCTGTAACCCAGGGAATTTCCCTCATAGCAACAGCAAATGCTCCATCCCAATTAAAAAGAAAGGGTTCTCAACCTGCTCTAAAATTTGTCATTTTTTGTTGCAGACACTGTGAAGTATTCACAAGGATTAGCAGCCAGCAATTACTTCCATAAACACTTCAGCTGGTGGGAGACTGAGTGGGAATTGGTGCAGGAATACAGCAGTAAAACACTCGACACCAGGAATTAATCATTTCAAATAGTGAACAAATCAGCAAATAAACACTTTCAGCATCTGCCTGTAGACTGTCCCTTGCAGCAGCCCCTTCAATTTGAGATCACCAATCCACATGATGAGGGTTGGTCTCTCCTCTGTACCGAATCATCAAACATTTACTGTCCCTCAGCTTCCCTCCATTTTTAGAATTACTCTCAGGAATAAAATGAGAATTCACTGTCAGCTTTGATGTTCAAGTGTATCCTGTTGAGCCTGCTAGGCCTGGCTGGGACACAGAAAAACAGGGTCTGTTTTGATCCCTGCTGAAAACAGGATGAAGAAGGAGGTAAAAATAAATCAACAAAAAAGCCCTCCAAGTGGAATTTAAGTTTGTGCTAAGTCAGCTTGGGAAAAACTCATCTACTCCATCCTCAGTTAATGAATACCAGCTGCATTAAAAACAAAAACCACAAACGCACCATCCAAAATCAAACCTAGCTCTGGTTAACTCCTATGTGGTGAGGATGCTTTAAAAAAAAATAAAATACAATAATTTTGCTTTTTTTTCAGTTTTCCCACTGGCAGATTTCTTTTCCCAAGATAGGTTTGACTAGAACTATAAATGCTGGCATGAAGAGAGAAGCTCATCCTGCACCTGTTAGGTGCAAAGGTTGATGTGACAGAGTTGACAGGGTGAGGCCCCAGCACCTACTCTTGTGACAGGCATCACTGAAATGCAAAATCCTGAAAACTTTAACCACAGCAGAAGCTCCAATGTGTAATTCACATGCAGGGTACAAAGTCAGCTCAAGTTAATTTAAAATCTATCCATGGGCATCTTTCCATTGTCTTCCATGAGCAGTCCTAACAGGTGGCAGTGGGAAAAGGCCTCGGAGCTGGAGGGAGAGAGGATTTCACATGGAAATCATCTGTGTCTGGGACATTTCCAGCAGAGAATCCTGGATTTGGGAACCTGGGAGTTCCAAAGTGCATCCCCTGGAGCTGCAGAGCAAAGCCTGGCTGATCACAACTGCAGCAGAGTGTGGAGCTGAGGGAAGATTCAAAGCGAGAACCTGGCTTGGGTGCTGCCATTTGCCAAGGAGGAGCTGTAGAGATGAAGAAAGAAGAGGTATTTAATTTGGGTTTGGAAACTTAGGGTGAAAATGACTGACCCCCAAAAAATTTTAAAAAGGAGAGGGTTAAATGAAAAAAAAAATCTTTATTCAAAATATTTGATTCAATCTGAAACAAAACCATTTGTAATAATATTTTTCCCTATTCTCGCCTCTTTTACAGCTTGAATTTTAAGCTGTAAAAATTCAAATTTTTACAAAACACAGCTAGCAATGCCCACACGGGCTGCTTCTGCATTTCCCTGGTGTAACTCGAAAGCGCCCACATTGTTTCCGCGCTTCCCAAATGCTCCCCCTCCGTTTATTTCTCCATCCGTCTGTCCCCCGGCTCCCCCCGCTGCCCTTTCCAGCTGAAGTTTGTGTCATCTGCTCCCGGAGGGATCCTGGTTTTCACTTGAGGGGCAGGAGAGGGGGCAGGAGAGGGGGCAGGAGAGGGGGCAGGAGAGGGGGCAGGAGAGGGGG